TTGATTATTAATTTAACTAATATTTATTGAGGGCCTCCTGTGTGCCCAAAAGAGGGTAGCCACTGGGGATACAATGAGGAGAGAACCCCAAATGTGGTCCCTGTTTCCTGTGAAGCTCACGGTCTGGGGGAAGCAGATGTTAATCTGTGAATCACAGAGAATCAGGAGATGATAATCATGATGGCATTTGATAATCACCATGCCAATGGCTGGAAGAAACCATGAAAAGACAGAAAGGAAGGTGGCAACTCTGGTTCCCAGAAGTTCTCCGCCCATTCCCAGAAAAGACATGAATATTCCTCCCCTTGTTTTTAATGCTCAGTGTCTTCATTAAAGATGCCCTGTATTTATGACTTCCCGGCACTCACAAGCTGAGCAGTTGATTTGTGAGCCGAGCTCCCACTTCTCAATTCCACAGTCATCAAATGAAGCCCATACTGCTTGATGTCACTGTCAGTTTTGCATACTGACTTTTTGGCACTGAACAGAGAAAGACCTCTTTGTTTTGAGAGGACCAGCTTTGTCAGTAACGGAGGCAGGAAGGTGGCCGCAGGGAATCTGATCTTTGTTCCAAGAGGAACCGAGCCTTTGGAGGTTTAATAGCAGAGAGGGTCACGTGATGGCTCAAACATCTCCTCTGGGTGTAGTTGGAGGAGCGATCCCAGGGGCCAGAGAGGAGTGGGGATGTCTGTCAGGACAAACCTACAGCAGTGTCCAGAGAAGGGCTGCTGGTGGCCTGGTGGGAGAGAGGGTTGCCTTTGAAATGGAAAGAAGTTACTGTATTTGGAGGATCAGTCAACTCCACAGGACTTGGAGGGGATTGATGTTGTGGGTGAGAGGGATGACTAGGGTGGGCTAGCTGTCTGGTGTCCTAACTGGCTGTCCAGGGTGGATAGTGATGGCTTTCACTGAGCTAGGGTGGAACTCCTCCAGAGCATTTCAGAGCCCTGCTGGTCACTTGCCACACCATGGGTTAGAAGACAAGGACACTCTTTCTGTGTTTCAGGGTCCTCACCTCCTCCAGGTGTTGATAAAACAGGTAAACACTTAGCACAGCAGCCGGTACTCAACAAATGATAGCTGCCCGCTGGGCCCCCTGCCTCCGGGTCAGTCTCGGGGAGCTGTTGGCCTCTTGCTGCAGAGACTCGTCACAAGCTGACACTCTTACTTCCTTGTGAGGACATCTGGGACTCTCTCTGAGGTGGGGATATTTTGTCTCAACCTTGCACCTCCTCACCTTTGTCTTGGAAGATGGAACAAGAAGGGAAGAGAGCTGGCGCTCAGCAGAGGTTGTGCGTTTACAGGTGAGGGAGCAGGTGCCTTGGATCTGAAGCCGGGGGAACTGGCCCTCCTCTAAACTAGCTGCGTGACCAGAGGCCAGTCTCTTTTCCTCTCCAGACCTTTTTACCTAACTGTAAAATGGGGTGGGGCACAAGACTGGAGACTGCCTCCAAACCCCTTTACCTCCAGATCTCTGCATTTTTGTCTATGCTCAAAGCAACATGGGTGGAGGCTGGGACCCCCCTCCTCCTCAGGGTCAAATCCTCGGCATTTCCCAAGCCCCAGCCCACTTACTCCATCTGTTTCAAACTTTTGTCACAGTCACCTTTTGGGGATAGACATCTTCACTTTGTCTTTCTGGCCTACCTGTCACAGGAGCCTTCCATGGGCTCTAGCTAGACCAGCCTTTTCTCCTCCTGTCTGGGAAACTCACTCATGGCAGGCTGCCCCTTCCTGCCTGGGCTGATGCCATTCCCAACCAGGAAAATTTCTTCCTCTCGGTCTCCCCTGTGGAAGCCTCAGCTTGGATCTATGGCAGTGAAATCTTCCTCTAAGCCCCTCCTTCCCGGAGTCCCCAGACTCCCTGGGGTCCCCTGGTGACTTTGCATGTTCATCAAGAGCACATTTCTCTACTCCTTCCTTATCCGGTTTTCAGGCTTTCTCATGCCCATATCAGGTTTTTCAATTGGTTGCTGGCTTCATTCAGCCGGCACAGATTTTCTGCATCCCTCTGCCCCAGGACCATTGACTGAAAGTGTTGTGTTAGGTGTTGGGGAGCCACTAGCCAGAGAAACACCCAAGCCATTCTCTCCTATGCGAAGTCTCAAGGCGAGACCCTGGAGAACCCAGACCTTGACTTCCTAGGAGGGTCCCCAGCTTACACGTGGGGATTTCTTTGCTTTGGTCCTGTTCATCTCCAGATCTGGGGCCACCCTGCCGTCTCCCCACCTTCTGGCCCAGACTCTGAGCTATGCCCCCATATCCCCTCTTCCTAACAAAGGCCTCCTCAGTGGAAGAGAGCTTGGACACATAGTACTTGCCAATAAAAGCAACCATTGTAGCCCCAGGGAAGGCGGTGGGGGTAGAGAAACAGGGTGAGGTTTTGCTTTCTGCTTGCCAAGGCTGGCTCCAGGGAAGGCCCCAGCCCACAACTGGTGAGACAGGCCTCTGGGGCCCCAGTGCGACCTGCCCTTCTTGACTTGCTCTCCTTGAGGCAGGAAGAAGGAGGTGGAATGGAGCTGGGGCCCCTGAGTTTTCCAGGGGAATTTCTCTGAGATGTCCCCACAGCAGAAAAGGAGCAATCCTTATGCCATGACTTTTTCCTTCTGTCCCGCAGGGTCCCCACTCTGCAGCTTGGAAAACTGAGACCCTGAGAAGGGAAGCAATTTTATCCTGAGATCATTCGGTGGGTTTGCAGAGGGCCAGATCTGAAAAGCTCCAGCTTGGTCATCTCCCAGCCTCTCCTCTCTCTCTCTCTCTCTCTCTCTCTCTCACACACACACACACACACACACACACACACACACACACTCTGACCTTCTCACTTTCTTGCTCCATCAGCCCTCACACATAGAATGCTGTCTGGATCTGTCTGGACCTTGATTTTGTACTTTTTTTTTTTTTTTTTTTTTTGAGACAGGGTATTGCTCTGTCACCCAGGCTGGAGTGCAGTGGCATGATCTCGGCTCATTGCAGCCTAAACCTCTCAGGCTCAAGCGACGCTTCTGCCTCAGCCTCCCAAAGTGCTGGGACTACAGGAGTGAGCCACTCTACCCAGTCAAGAGGCATCTTAAAAGACCAGAAAGAGGAGAAAGAGGAATTCTTTGCTTCCCTAATTTAATGTAGATCAATTTGGTTGTGCCATTTCCAAATATCTGGATGCTCTGATGTGGCTTAGAATGCTTGGAATATAATATACTTTAGCTTTCTGAACCTGCTTCTTAAATGCAGTGGTCCTCCAAAACTGGCATCATTTCCAAGATTCTTTATTCCATGGTTATTTTAAAAAATCTCCTTCCCCTAACTCCCATGGATTGTTTGAAATATAGTTTATTTGCAAATTATTAGTTACATATTTACAGAGCAAAGCAAGAGCATGGATCTTCCGTTGGGTTGTTTGTGCCGACTCCTGACCTGGTCTCAACACCATTGCCAAGACCAGCATCTGCTCTCTTCTCAGACTCTTGCTTCTTTCCACCTTGGGCTGCCGTAGTTGCTACTGGTGTCAGACATGGAAGCAGAGGGCAGTTATCACGTATTGAGCATCTATTATGTGGTATAGCTAACACTCATTTCACAGATCAGGCGACTGAGGTTCAGAGCTAGGATTTCAGTCAGGGCTGTCTGACTGTGAAGCCAGGATTCTCTCCTTACCGTCTCAAACCTGCTCTTGGCTAGCACACAGGTCAGTCGTGCACCCTGGGCTGGAGTCTGGAAAATGGGTAGATCCAAGGGGTCGATGGTTAGTGAGGGTATCAAGACCGTAGTGAAAGAAAGAGGGAGTCTCTCTCTACCAGGAAGCTCACTGTCCACCACACCCCCAAATGCAGCCGGACACCCCTTCGGCCTCCTGGCTCTGGAACAGAAACAGCGAGCTGGCACTGCGGCCGTAGAAAGCGGATTCGGGCCACCACTCCGGGGCGCCCAGGCGTCTGAGGGGACAATCGTCCCGTGCGCCAGGAGCCCCTGCTCCGGCTCCGCGTGGCACTTCCTATCCGCGCCGCAGGCAGCTGCACTCCCCAGCCACGTGCCCCGCCCCCGGGAGCCGGGCGCCCCAGCTCCGACCCGCGCCCGGCCCCGCCCCGCCGGGTGTGCCCACCCCCGGCCCGCCCCGCCGCCCCCTTGCCCGGCTCCCGCGGAGTCCCGGAGCGTCACTGCGCGGGCGGGCTGACCGACCCGCCGGCAGTTGGCACCGGGGACGCTGGCGCGTCAGCGGCTCCGCTCTCCCGCCGGCAGCCTCGCGCGCCCGGAACCAGCGGTCCAGGCGGCGGCGCCGCGCGGGGAACCCGGAGCCCGCGGGAGGGAGGCGCTAGGCAGGGAGGCGGCGGCGGCGGCGGCGGCGGGAGCGGTCCGGTGCTCCGACAGCCCTGGGCGCACCCTAGCCTCGCCGCCCTCAGATTGGGACTTGGCGCTCGGGCGCTCGCCTGTCCCGCGTCCCAGCGCGGCCACATGGCTCCGCTCCGCGCGCTGCTGTCCTGCCTGCTGCCCTTGCACTGCGCGCTCTGCGCCGCCACGGGCAGTTGGACCCCAGGTGCGTGCGGGTTGGGGGCGCGGGGGCCTGTGGGGTCCGGGGTGCACGCGGTCAGGGTGGCCCAAGGCTGCCTCAGCCACCTGGGCAGGGTTCCAGCGGGTGGGAGGCAGTGTGCACACTCTGGGCTGAACTGCTCTCTTTTCTTCCTCTGTGCCACGGCACTGTCCAGTGATTTCTCTCCCTCTCTGGCCCTAGAAGTAGACAGAGACCCCAGGAGAGAATCTGGGAGCATCGAGTCTCTTCTTAGGAGCCGCATATCTGTCTCTTTGTCTCTCTGTGTTTCTTCTCTCCTCCCCCCAATCTGTTCAATCTGTTTCCCTGTCCTGTATGTCTTTCTCTTTCAGTGTCTTCTCTGTCTCCAACTTGTGTGAACATGGGTGCAAGGTGTGTGTGTGTGTGTGTGTGTGTGTGTGTGTGTGTGTGAGAGAGAGAGAGAGAGAGAGAGAGAGAGAGAGAGAGAGAGAGAGGAGAGAGAGAGACACTGTTACATATCCAGATAAGGCTAACAGGTGATTGCTTCCTGCTGCAGAGCACGCGGGATGCCACTCACACTCCTGCAAAGAAACACACTCACATCCTTCCACTGCCCCCAACACAGCATTGTCAAATGCTGCAGACACAGTCCTCTCATGTACAGCCCAGTTACACTCCAGTCCTGCCCTGCAGCATGGGTTACCTTCCTGGTGGCTCTGAACATGGGGAGGAGTCTCTGGTCATTTCCAGGCAGGGTGCCTGCTTGTCTGTGAGCCTTATTCATGTGCCAGAGTGGGTCCCCTCTTAACAGCAGTCTTGGGGGTCCTCTGCTATAATGGATGAAACTAGAGCTGTGGGCATGGGGGCATTTCAGGAAACACCATTTTCTGTGTTTTATCAGTGACTTGAACTGGGGAGACGAGAGGTAAAGTTGTGTGGAAATGAAAATTCCTCCCAAACTCGCATTCATGAATCACCAGGCCTGGAAGCCAGGGAGCTGTCATTCCTGCCCAGCCTGGCTGCGCTCGAGGAGCGCTCTGTGAGGATGGGCCTGCTGGCATGTGGCCCAGAGCATGGGGCCATGACCTAACACTTATTCAGCCCAAGTGGGCAGGTCACCCCCTGTGTCTCCTTTTATTTTTGAAGATCTATAATCATCCAGCTTGGGGCTGGGCCATACAGAAATCTCAGCAGCCACAGTGCTACTTTAAGAAATTTTGTTTCTAACCTTGGAAAAATAGAGAACCGTGCATTCCCTCCCTCCCCTCTGCAGCCCCACCTTCTCCTTGACATGTGCCCACGGTCCCCTGGTTTTCTAGGTGTGTTTGTTTTGCCAGCTGTGTTCTCAGAAGCTTGGGGAGAGGGCTCTATCCCAGCCTGGGCTGGTGACTTCAGCACACTGGGGAGTTTGGGCAGATCTGGCTTTCCCTTTATTTGCCCTGTTGGCTTTTGGGGAATTTTAGTCCTTTTCTGGGCAGAGCAAGGTTGGAAGTCTTGCTGCTAGTGACAGGACTCTGTCTGGTATCATTTGTCTTCTTCCACTAAGTTTAGAAAGGACCTGGGGGCTACAGGGAGTGATATTCCCACAAAGTACTCAATCACCCTTTATCCAAGTGTAGGAATCCTGGAGCTCAGGAAGCAATGGATGGAAAATGTATGAACTTGAGCTAAGGGGCCCATCTAAGGGTGACATTCAGCGTTCCTATTTCTCATCTCTCCCTGCCCTCAAGGGATTCCAGACTTCCCCTTACCTCTGCACCAACTGCATTGAAGTGACTCTTTGTTTACCTCCAACAGAACTGCACCTCTCTGGAAAGCTCAGTGACTATGGTGTGACAGTGCCCTGCAGCACAGACTTTCGGGGACGCTTCCTCTCCCACGTGGTGTCTGGCCCAGCAGCAGCCTCTGCAGGGAGCATGGTAGTGGACATGCCACCCACACTACCGCGACGCTCCAGTCACCTCCGGGTGGCTCGCAGTCCACCGCATCCAGAAGGAGGGACCCTGTGGCCTGGCAGGGCGGGGCGCCACTCCCTCTACTTCAATGTCACTGTTTTCGGGAAGGAACTGCACCTGCGCCTGCGGCCTAATCGGAGGTTGGTAGTGCCAGGAGCCTCAGTGGAGTGGCAGGAGGATTTTCGGGAGCTGTTCCGGCAGCCCTTACAGCAGGAGTGTGTGTACACTGGAGGTGTCACTGGAATGCCTGGGGCAGCTGTTGCCATCAGCAACTGTGATGGATTGGTAAGGGATGAGACTTCCATTAAGCTGCATCCTCCCCCTCCCGTGCCCTGCTCACGTGGTTCTGAGATCGCTATGGGCATGTTTTGCTGTCTGGGCAAGGCAGGGGCTGTGCTGCCTTCTTGAGGGAGTACCGCCTGCCCCTGCAGGCCACCGGGTTCACGCTCTGCCAGGTGTGAAGTGGCCGAGTTGGGATGGTGCCTGTATTACGTTCACCCCTCGCCCCCCACGGACCCAGCTGGATCACAGGCTGTTTGGCTGGTGTCTCTGAGTACCGAGAAACACCAGGGTAAGGAAGCCAGGCTCTGGAGTCTGACTGCTGGGGTTGGAATTGTGGCTGAGCCGCTGCCTAGCTGTGAGGATCTGGATGAGTTAACCTCTCTGTGGCTCTTTCCCTTATTTATTTTGTACATATTTACTGTTCTAGGTGCTGGTAGTGCCTGAGGCAGACGTGGCCCCTGCTCTCCTGGAGCTATCCCACTGGTGTTAATGATGTGGCCCACTTCCCTGGGCAGTGCACTGGGGGCTGCCCCTGCCTGGCTCCTGGCGTGGGCATAGTTAGTGGCTGCCATTATGTCCTGTAACATTGTAATGTCGTGTCCTTCCTCCTCTCCTCCCTGTCTCTCCTCCCAGAGCCAGCCTACTCTTTCCTGGCTGCTTTATGTGGTCCCTCTCCTAGGACCCCCACTGCTTCCCAGAGGCTGGGAGTGCCTTTGCTAGTTGGCTCCACATTGCAAGCCAGAAAGCCACGGGGTGGGCTGTCTTTCCCGCCCCCACCTGGGGCTGGCTGTCAGTCCATCCCCTCGATGTTCCCCCTCACTGTGGCAGGCCCTCGTGAGCTGGCATAGCAGCCTCAGGGTCCTGCTGGGTGGCTCTTCCCTGCCGCAGCGACTCAGGTAGGAGCTGATGGGTCCCAAGAAGAGGACTGCTTGCCCCTCTGCCCTTCAGCTTTGAGACTCAACAAATTTGAAGTGGGGAGGGGTTGGGGTTCCCTCCTCACTGGCAGGGTGGGGAGCACTTGTCACCATTGTCCCATGTGTAGGAGATGTCTTTTCTGCTGATTTCGCAGCTGCCTCTATCTAGGCCAGTGCTTTCCACCTTTTATCATGATGAACCCCCTAATGTCTTAGACATTTCACCCCTAATCATCAGTCCACCGCACCATGAGTTTTTTCTTTTAGAGGCAGATTCTCACTATGTTGCCCAGGCTGGAGTGTAGTGGCTGTTCACAGGCACAAGCTTAGGGTACTGCAGCCTCTAACTCCTGGCCTCCAGCAGTCCTCCTGCCTCCATGTCCCAGGAGCTGGGGCTATAGGTGGATGTCACTGTGCCTGGTTTCCTCATGCAGTTTTAATACCACAGATGTACTGAATACCTGCTTATACACTGTATATCTATCTGTGCTTTATGTATTCAAAGGTGTAACTTTTTGCCTTCCCCAGAATTAATTTTCACCCCATTGAAGGTGATAGGGCCCTCATGGAGAGGGCTTATCTACACGGTAGTTGGTTATCATCGTTAAGCAAGGGCTAGAATCACCTGAGCACCTTGTCAGGGGCACAGAATCTGTCTCGTGGAGGAGGGACCAGGATCTGACCATTACCAAACTCTCCAGGTGATCTGATGCAGGAGTTCCTGAGAGCAGACTTTGAGGAAACAGATGGTCAGGTCAGCTGGGGGAGTCTAAGGCCTTTTCAGGTTTCTGGGGTGAGCCTCCGCCACCAGCCCGCTCTGGCTCTGCGGCTCTGTGCCACTGGGGCCCTCGGTCACCCTGCTGGCTAGAGGTAAACCGTGGCCACAACTTTTGGTTGAAAATCCCAAGTGATGTTAGGAATCATCCAGGGATGATAATAAGTAACCCCTACCTGCTTTGCATCCTGAAACCCTCCCTTGTCATTGAACCAGCTTAGCGGCCCATTGACAAGTAGTGGTCACACTAGGTGCCACAAGGACCAGGGCCACGATGGACCCTGAGCTAGCACTCCTGAAGCATGATCACATGGCTGCATAGCATAGCGTAGGTGGTGACAAGCCACCATGCTCTGGTTTTGTGGGCTGGCTGATGGTGGGGGTGGGGCTGTTCAGTGGGCTTGGGGCTGGGCATTCCTCAGAGGCTGTTGCTGATTTTTGGTGGCCTCTGAGTAAGTTATCATTAGCTGTGTGACCCTGGGCAAGCCACCCTCCATTTCTGAGCTTTACTCTTCTCATTTGTCCAAAGAGGGGCTGCACTTGACGTTCCATGGAAGATGGGAATCGATTCTGTGTGGCATTTGCTGAAGCAAGGTCGGGTCTCAGACGCTGTCCAGGCACAGGCTTCTGGAGGCTTGCGGTGTAGCTGGTATAGCACTGAGGCTCCAGGAAGTGCCTGGCCTGGGTCCCCCTCCCCTTGGTGAGGGGCAGAAATGGACTTCACTGGGCTGACCTTCAGGCTGGATCACAACATGTATCCTGACTGTTTCCAGAGGCCAATCCTGAAGTCCAGTATCTGGACGCCTCCCGCTCCAGGCCCTGGGAGTGGTACTCCCTGACTGCCTGTCCACTGGGGCTGCCAGCACAGAGGTCACTCCAGGCTGAGATTTCTTGACTTTCAGCCCACTCCGGGAAACAGCCCTGTGTCCCATGACAGCAAGGGGCTGTGTCACAGTGATCCAGCTGAGCTCACCTTTGGAACTCAAAGGTCATGGTGTAGCATTTCTGATAAGATTGAACTCTGCATCTCTACGTGGTCTCTGGATTTTAATCCAATATTCTCTAACATCTGAAATGCCAAAGTCATTCATTTCAAAAAATATGTACTGAGTGCTGACCATGGACAAGGTCGCTGGGGAGATCGTAAGAAAATGAAAGTGACACAGATAATGACAGCAACAATGAGTCCTTTCTGTGGCCAGACATGTATGTGCTTACTTAACTCCATCCATTTGTAGATGAGGAAACTGAGTCATAGGCAGAGATACGAAGATAATACAGATAGCTTCCATTAGCACGGGACTTTATCGTTTACAAAGCTCTTTTGCTTCCTTGAATCTTGTGAAGTGTGTGTGCAGATATTGTTATTACTCCTGCTTTGCAGAGAGTCAGGTCCCTGCCCTCGAGGAATGTGGGTGCCATGCAGGGGGGAACCCACAAATAGTTTTAGCATTCACTTGGTTTTCTAGACTACCGTGGGGATGGGTACTCAGTAAATGGGAGTGATTGTTTTCTTTGATGTCAGTGAAAGTGACATTTGCACTAGATCTTGAAGGATGAGTAGAAGTTTGCTGGGGCCAGAGGGTGGGGAGGGCCCTCTGGGCAGAGGGAAGAGCTTGAGCAGGCTGGTGATGGTTAGACAGAGGAAGGAGCACCATGCCAGGTGGGGCTGTGGAGTGGACCCTAAGGACACGCTGGGCAGGGGGTGCTTGGTCTGACCTAGAAATAAGGGCAGAATGGAAGAGAGGGTCTGGGGCAGGGATGGGGCAGCCTGCTCTCTGGAAGAGGCTGGGCTGGGAGTTGAGAGATGTGGCTGTGTGACTCTAAGCAAGCTGCCCCCTTCTCTGGGCCTCAGTTGCCTCCTGGGTGTGTTGAGAAAGCTGGAATGGGTAAGTTCAGACCCCTTCCAGCTCTGGCACTGGTGCTTTGTGGCATGGGGCTGACCTTGCTGGAGTTTGGAGCCAGGCCCCTGTAAACCTGTAGTTGACAGCTCCCTCCTACGTTGCAGACATGCCTCACACTAGGGTATGGGATACTTTATTTTACTTCCCAGCCACTGTCCTGGAGGGCCTTGTATGTGTCCTAGCTGTGGGAGGGGAAAGAGAAAGATCCAGGAATGAAAAGCCAGGACCCTTGCCCTGGAGGAGTTCGTAGGCTAATGGGCACCCAGACATAAAAGCAAACTTGAGAACCCTGTGAGAGGCAGCAGGAGAAGGACCCATTTAGTTTGGTTAGGGTGTCTAGGTTAGGGCATCCCAGAGGAGGTGGCATTTGCTCAAGACTGTTCAGACATTATAAACCTGAAAGATAGTGCCCGTCCCCTGACCAGCAGAGAGAATGACTGACCCAGCCAGTCTTGAGGATGTTCAAGGGCAGGGAATAAGGGGTGTGGGGGCGGGGCCTGGTCCTGCCTGTGAAGTGTTTCCTCTGGGGTAGTGGGCAGCTAGCCTGTGATGCTGTTAGACCTAAGGGTCCCAGACTGGGAATGTGTCCAGGTGTCAGCAGTGACCTGATGGGCTACTCTTCAGAGCGACTAACACTCTGTAGCTGGGAGAAACATGGGCTGGGGACCAGTTATTTTTGGATCCTGGAGAGGTTGTGGGGTACAAGGATGGGGTCAGCAGATTGGCGTCCCTGCTTCTCAGTGGGGCTGCATGCTCACAGTACCCTTCTAGAATCCAGGCCACCAGCCCCCTGAAGGGTTGCCTCTCCTATAGTCATCCCTGCCTCCCCAGGCCCTGGGCCCTGATAACCTGCACTGGGGCGACGGGGGCTTGGCCACACCGTGTTTCCCCCTGTGCCTTCAGTGCCTCTATGAGTCAGGGCCTGGTGTGGAAGCAGCCACATGTGTAAGATTTGTCGCCATCTGGTTCTGTTCTCCACTCTCTGCAGATCTTGCATTTTTGATGGGTTATGCTGAGTAGACCCTGGCAGGTGGTTTTGGGAGGGGCAGGGGAGGCTGCCTCCCAGCTGGAATGCTCACCACTGAACAAGTCACAGAAGCTCTTGGAGCACCTCCCTTTTGTCTTTAAAATGGGTCTACAATGTGGGGTGGGGCTGGGGAGTTGAGAACTTCAGGGTAAGGGGCTTCTTTATGGGAGGCTGAAAATGTTCTAAAATTGTGGCCGTGGTTAAGCAATTCTGTGAATATACTAAAAACAATTACATTATGCACTTTAAGTAGGTGGATTATACGATATGTCATATCTCAATAAACCTGTTACCAAAAGCACCTGGCCTATGGAAGGGCCCCATCACAGGTGGTGTTCGTAATTCCAAGGAGCTAGTCTAGGCTGGGGGAAAGAGCAGGATGC